GGCATGATGGCCTATGTCTCAGTAGTCAACGCATTAATATTGTCACAAGTGTTTGTAGTTGTTACGGTATTTGCTCGGCCGTTTGGTTCACCAGTGCCCGCAAGCCGGTCACGTGGTAGATGCGATGGGTTATATCGGATTCCGGCAGGCGTTATCGCATTTGCGCCCCATGACAAATGCCAACACTTTCGGGGTGCGGTGACGGACCCGGTTACCGGCGTACGTCGCGCTCACTGGGATCCCTGCCACACTCTTGTTGTTGTTGGTCAAAAACCTGGTCATTTACTGTGTGGACAGTAGGGTGTAGAGTGGAGTCCGAGGTGCGGGCTCGGCCGTGTCATCCACCCGCGCCCTCCTCCATCTCCGGTCTTCTTGACTCTGCCTTGACACCGAGTACAGGTGGGGGAGGAGGAGAGAGTGCGGTAGATGCTGTACAAGTCCACAATCAGCATAAACTAGAGTTTCACACAATTCACCATCCCTGTTCTCACCTTGTAGTGGAGCACCTGGTGGACATCATCGAAACCGACGGTAGAAAAGTCGTTTGGCCAGAACTATTAGCGAAGACGCGACTCGACCATGTCCACCTGCAAGGTTCGTTGTTCTGCCATGGGCGAATGTATGGTATTGAATACTCAACTCCCTGGTCGGCAACAGAAGGAGGCCTCCCAATGCCTCTAAATCTCGTCATTTGGCATTGCATATGTATTGGCGTGCAGGCTTCTCGGAGTGATTGCTGAGATTCGAATGTCTCTTTAGGATTCACAGGCTTCAGGCAATGCCTATTGCGTAGAACCACAACGTTGTAGCCTACCTTTCTAACTAACCATTGCGCATGTTGTGGTCTGCATCCATAAAAGTTAGAGGAGTGTTTTACGTGGTAACAGCCCACAGCTCCAATATACGTTGACGCGGCCGCAGGGGTTTATTGTCGATTATCATAGTTAGTACGATTGCTCAGAAATCCCTGAGAAATACCATAGGATGTGCAAGTGAACAACTACCGTTTTCAACTTAACAAACCAGACACAACCGAACGATGTGTAAATTGGTGAAGGTATGAAACGGACAAGAGTAAGTTGGATACAGTTTCAGAGAACATTTATATATTTTGCCATAGGAATATTTAGTGACCTTTCAGTGTGCATGTTGATGGAAGGAAGCTTGAATAGGCGATAGGATTGTGCAGATATAGGAGGCATTTTCTGAGCAAGTGCATCAATAGTCTTGCAGGTAGTATAGCTAGAAATAAACAGAAGCATTCATTGGTATAAGCGGAGCATTTTTCATGGCGTAGTGCATCCTCTATCAGCACTCGTTGCTTCGGGAATGTGTTGATCCCTTATTTCAGTTTGATTGATGTTTGATTCATCCTCAGTTAGCTTGGAGATAAGTCGCTTCCAGAATCGTATGCATGGCGCCCTCAGCGCCGGAATGTAGACAGCGATGATGACTGGGGAGAGGAGTAATTGATGGTAAAGAAGCAGAGTGCCAATTCTATCCGGCACACTGTAGATTACCATTGTGCACCACCCTAATGCACAGCTAAACGGGTACATTGTATTGTAGAGACTGAATGCTAGAAAGTTAAGTGATAGGGGTACAGTGCACATAGATGCTGTCATCCAACCACGCGGCCGAATTAGTTCCGCCATCTGCTCCGTGGGAGTTCCAGGAAAAACCAAACTATTCCAGGTGTCCGAAAGCTCCTCTGCTGGTGTGTTTCGTACCCACTGGATAATCTTGTAACATGAGATACACAAGATAATGGGGCTGATGACTACGGCCAGACCGAATCGTACAAATGTCCCCATGTAAGCAGCGACGAGGGCCCAATGGGCAATATCCTTTTCAAGACACATGCAATACATGCCATTCCATTTCACCACAAATGCCTGGCACAGAATACTGAGGACACTATTAAGACCTAAAATCAGTAAGTACGTGAGATCGGAGAACAGAGAAGGAGAGAAAGAGTACTGGTATCCATAGGTAATCTGAATTGCCCTGTTTCCCACCAAGAAGTTCAGGATCAGAGCGCCAAATATGTAAGAAACGTCGAAGATATAGCGGCTTCTCCAGAGATGGCACACAATCCGACCAAAGATAGGGTCCTTGGGCATAAATTGGTGGGGCACGGCGTGATTGAGGAAACCGATTAAACTACAGATCACAGTAGATGCAGTCAGAGCTCGCAGTTGAATTAAATAACTCATTGTTCTGCCTGTTAAAAAACAGAGCGTTATCAGTATGCCGAGATTCAGGACCAGACTTGCAGAACTCACGACGGCAGTGAAGACGAAGATGGCGTCTCTCGGTGGGGCGCTGGTAGGGCATATCCAGTAGGCGACGTCCATTTTATGTCCGAGGTGTCAGTGCGTCACTGATATACTGATATAGGTATGTGTTAAACTATTTATTTTGTAAATTGTCTCAATGATAACTGGAAAGACAGTGCGTCGGGAATGTGGTCTGTTGGTTAGCACCCAGTATGTGCCAAGTATTCGCTCTGAAATTCTTCGCTTCCTGCTGAATAACGAAAAGATACTGGTATAAATTATTGTCACGGCGAATTGCATTTATACAGGGACGAAGCGTTGCTATTGGTCGGATGGTTCCTATGCTACTGTTGCTAATTTGCAAGGTCCCCTCTATTTGTCTTCTGTTATGCCATCCTCTCGCTCATTGCTCCTAACGTCTGTGAGCTGCGCATTACTATTTTTGTGCCTTTTGACCCATACCCTGGAAAATTCTTAAATGAGACATGCATCCCTTCCCTGCCTTTCTGCACTGAATTCAAATGCCTTTGGTTGGAACAAAAACGTCACATTAGACGCCCTTTTTCACATACTTCCTCGGACGTGGAGATGTTAGTGCTTTTGTGACAGCAGGCGATTGCAGTTGTGGCCACCTGTCAAACCTGCCTGAATTGCCCGAATACGATGGGCGCATGGATCACGATGGCTCATGAAATGCGTTATTTGGTTTGTTCAAAGTCTACTTAAGCCATTAGCCGTTTTCGCACACAACTACAGCGCTTGATTAGTGAATCCCCGTGGTATGTCACTCACCGTGCCGACTCCCATCCCCGTGCAGCCTGACTTGGACAAAACCAACCTGCACTAGAGTGTAGAGAGCAGCGGAGGTTGATTCGTCACTTTATTTTAACTTAAATATTGAGCAACATTCCGTATCTAATGCTATAACGTCATGTATTGTTCCCTTAACCCAGTATCTTTCGCTGGTTAATTTTGAAAATAGTTAACTTCGTAATTTCTTGGATTTCAAATGCCAGAAATCATCGTATGGAACGATGCGGACACTGCGGATCAGTCGGCACATGGGGCAACAGAAACATCAGTGAAACACGTCTCTAGGCTTTAGCTAGCACCCATTGGCGAAATAACACTGACTAACAGCTTAAACGAGTGCATATAGTTGTGCATCTAGAACTGTGTCTTAAGACTTTCATTGCACTCAGAAACAGGTCAACGAACAAAGGGAGACACCGATGAGCTCGTTCCTGTCTGGCACGAGCAACTGGTCTTCCGCTTGTATCCCCGAAGGTTCGGACCAGATACGTCGACGACGCTCTCCTCATTAGGAAAAGCGACGATGAGCAAGTCTTCAGGAAATTGTAAAATTTAATCTTTCCATACATCCAGTTTACTGCAGAGAAAGAAGTCGACAGCTGGTTGTTTTTCTTTAAGGTACGAGTAACGAAGATGGCCAACAGGATGATGAGGACGGCGATCAACCGTAAAAAAACTAACACTAGGCGCATTCTTAGCCTCAGACGCGACCATCCGGTCACACCGTAGCGACGAAAGTGGAGGGACGAGGGAGATGAAGCACCTGCAAACCCTATTTAAAACGTAATTGTCTCAAAACACGTCATTTTGAGCGGTTGAGCAGAGACCGACGTGGCTCATAGGCCAGAATGCACACTAAGGCAGCAAATCATAAAGGTCAAGGACCCGCTGCCAGTAGTAAAACAATAAGAACTGGTCCGCGGCATCCCATGACAAACCTGTGATGCGAGACATGTTGCTGACACGGGCAAACGCCTTGACACAAGATCGCACGAACACCGACTTACGATCAACAACAACGATACGTTGTCCGTCGTTTATGGCCACACACAACAGCTGAACCATAGTTTCTCCCTTAAGAAAGCAAGGGTGATCGGCCAAGTCAGCAAGAGTCTGACAAGATCGGTTCTCGAAAGCTGGTCCTAGACTGGCGCAATAATTCATACTATAGACCAGCATCTTGCCTACCCGACGTTGCGTAAAAAGCCCGGCTCAATTCGAGCATGACCAATAGGCCAGGAAAACACGCTAAACGGAGAGCCGAGACGTCAGTACCAATACATTTTGGGTCATGAACTTGCCCTTTCTTCTTCTTCCGCGGAAACCCGACGCTATGAAATAGCTGTACTGCAAGCGGTATAATTACACATGACAGATGTTTTTAATGTGCTCCCGACATAAGAACTAATTAAAAGAGCGATAGATATGGAGCGGGAAAGGGGTGTCGAAAAAGACTAGATATACCGGAGTGATCATTTCCGCTTTATTAATCGCCATCAGTCGGCCATTTCAAACAGCAGGTCTTCAATTCCTGATCGCGTTACCGGACATTCCTCCCAATGTGCCTTGGGGTTCATTGTCGAGCCCTGCAGCAGCTAGTGTTTAAGGAAGACAACGAGAATGGAGGCACGAATGACCATTTCTGGCTTATTAGCTCTCATCAGTCAGCCAGAGGTTGGGAACGTGATGTTGACAATGGGTGGCTGATGGCAGATTGTAAGCCACAAATGGCAATTCTGCTGGCTGACAACGGCTAATAAGCCAGAACTGGCCATTCCAGTCTCCCTTGTCTTTGTTGGCAATAAAATTCTGCATATATATGCATGTGTTTAGACCGGAGTGGTATGCATTCCGAGTCGATATCATGAAAAAAATAGTTTCCTCGGAAAAATCGGGTTGTACTCGTGAATGTTCGAGCTGATTACACAAATCTACCGATTCAATTGGGATGGCACTGAGGTCGTTGCCCGGTCCAACACAAAACGAGCGAGAGAATTCTTCGAGGCTCGGTACTCCGATGCTGGTAGTATCGACCGCCATGTTGAGCTGGACGTCCATTACGAGGGCATACGCTCCCGACTTACTGTCCCCTGCCCTAATGCCACTTCAATGGCCGTTAATCCGACCACCCGGAGTCCAATTGATCCGCCATCCGCCCTCCCCCTCCGGCACAGGGATCCGTAATTGTTCCGTCTCCCCCCTCCCCCCTCGCTCAGAGATCTACCATGACACTGCGACAATCCTTCTCATAGACCAATAGTCTGTTTGTCCTGTCGCGCTAACTAGTCTGGTGTGACAAGCTAACTTTCTCCCTTGTTTTCATGTCGTCTGACGACGGGTTGGTGTCATCAGCTCGAGTACAACTCGATTTTTCCAAAGAACCTCTTTATTTTTTCATATATATATTTATGTATAATACATAGGCAGCTCGCTAAGAGGCAACAGGCCAGACGCAGACAGCTGTTTCACGGTCGTTACCTATCATAAATACGTCATAGGTCTTATGAATGTTTAAAGGTAAGAAGTCCTTTGCAAAATGCAACAAAATTTAATCCGTAAATTTTCCTTGTCCTTTTCTTCTACATCCTACTGCTCTATGCGACGACGTATAAAATTTCAGGGGCGACCACTGTAGGAAAAATTTTGAATAAATAATTAAGTTCTATTTGGTAACTATGTATAGATATATATACAGAGGGGAGACGACAGAGTCTGGGGGTAGATTGATACAGCACTGTTTCGGGCTTGTTTGCCTTCATTCAGCCAATCATAACCCTGACCACCAGCAGCTGGTACCGGAAACACAAATATGCGCTCAGACGCACCTGGCGCAGCTGGTCCACCACTGGGGTCTACCAGATGGGTCATAAGCACTTCATCGACAGACAATGGCAGGTGGCGAGGCACTGATGAACTTCGGTTCGATGAAGTGCTTATGACCCATCTGGTAGACCCCAGTGGTGGACCAGCTGCGCCAGGTGCGTCTGAGCGCATATTTGTGTTTCCGGTACCAGCTGCTGGTGGTCAGGGTTATGATTGGCTGAATGAAGGCAAACAAGCCCGAAACAGTGCTGTATCAATCTACCCCCAGACTCTGTCGTCTCCCCTCTGCTTTCGTAGCTTGGCCGACTTCGGCCTGGTAGGTGGTTGCCTGTTCGTGACCCCTATCGCCCATACGAAGCTTGTTGGCTTCGGGAAGCCAATGGATCGGTGTGCGCCCATTCCTGAGATATATATACGTACATATTTACATTCATGTATTTATCGTTTAGCCGCCTTTTAACTAATCCAGACCCATGCGACGACGAAAATGAGTGAAAGGAAGGAATAGGTTAACTGTATTCCCTTTTGATGCCAATGGTAACTAGAGGCCCTTTATACAAGTGCTGATCTTTGAGCCTATATACTGGCGGATTAAAAGTGAAAGACAGAACTTCTGACTCCCGATTCACTACATGGAGTGGTTATCGAGGAGGACTACGAAAACTGTATCGAAACAGCGACAGAAGCGAACGAACACCATGGTAGAAGTTTAAATGATTGGCAGCACAAAATCAGTTGCCTGTGTGAACTTTCTGTAGTCCATGCCCACCTAAACCGGCAGAAAAAGATGTTTCCCAAACAAGAAATCGGAATTCATCGAATGAGCCAATGAAAGGGTTGTCAAACAGGTATTCAATTACTGGTCCTCGACTGGCACAATCGCCTAGGCCGTGGGCCTGCATCCAGTCAAATGAGTACTTACCAGAGGGATCGTCATTTTGAACCCTGGAATTATCCGTTGTTCGCGGAAAGTGTTATTCCATCATTGAGGCCGAACGAGTGGATGAAAATATGAGAACTTCTATCAGATGCAAATAAGAGTCGTTTCCACGGCATCTATTGTTATCTGGTAATTTTACTCATTGAGACTTTACATTATGCATAAAAACAATAACCTAATTTCCTAAGTGAATGAACTAAGTAGGCATTCGCTTTATCAGTAAAATCCGTGATGCGAAATTTCGCGCGAATCCCTCCAATTTGCCTTCAAACTGCAGATTAATGCTGGCTTCATGTTCTACAATGCCTGTTTGACTTTGCCGATAAAGGCGAAAAACGCGGTTCCAGAAGTCAGTTAGGAAAGATGCTCTTACCGGGTGAGATGTCGAGGTGGAGGCCAGTCGACTTGTCTTAAGTTCTTTTATCCCAGACAAAAAATAAACGTCCCTTGCATCCGGAAATTTCGGGAGATCGGTGCAGTCAGTGTGCATTCGGTATTAATTAGCTTCGATTGTGTCCGAGAAAACGCCGGCCTGAAATCGCAGGCATTATCAGAGTTTGGCCAAAGTATTCGATGACTTACTGGATTGGGGTTCACTCCTATGATGCAGCAATATCTAGAATTGCGGTATAACTGGGTAATGACGCGAACGAATCATCGATGGTCATTTCTTCATCAATTTATTTGTCAGTACCATTTCATGGTTTGAGGCATAATGATTTTTACAATTTTTTTTAATAAACCGACTAATATAGGGCGAAGTAGAAGACTATGGAAAGTGTTTAATGTTCATAGTTAGGTACCTGCAGTACTTGCATTACGTAAGCAATACCTAAAGTACATGAAAACAAATTTCAAATCGAACATAAAGATATTTTATACGGAGGATTTATCCGATTCCTGTTTCCAGTTTTACCTAAAACTGAAAATGCATAAGCCGTTAACCTCAAGAAGTTATTTGAATAACCAAAATGTACATAACTTTGTATTTGTTTGACGCAGACTTCACTAAATTTCAAAACCTCTCTTTCTGTCTAAAAGACGCTATTTTTTGAAATTGTTCAAAACAGAAAAATGCCCCGTCACATTCATGTCTTTAGAAAGTGACTTTGAATTCTTTGTCCCGCTCCCTGAAGACATGCAATTTCTGTCAACCTGCTTTCATAAACAACTTTTGTTTGACAGAGTCGTTCTTGGTCGTACGGGTCGAGGAACGAGTTTTTTGTTGGTGGTTTGTCGCCAAGGCCCAGCCGCACCAGACTCGTAAATAAATACGCCCCAAATTTTGTCTAAACTGTCTACGAACCTGGGGAAATACACTGCCACAGATGTGGAAAAACAACAACCTATAAACACTAACGTCAGTCGCTTCCTGTCAAGGAACGGCCAGTGCTTTTTTAATGCGTCGATCTAGAACAGTGGACGTCATCTCAGCACAGTTATTATATGGTATATTGGCCAGGAAATTCATCTGACTAACGTACACGTTGGTATCACTAATGTGTCCCGTGCCATCTAAAAAGCCCGGCTGCCCACAAACAGCTATGCCATCTTTGGCGTGCATGTATTCTCATCGCGTAATGACAATGGGAGATGAGAAATGTCGACGTTGAGCCCAAATTTGCAGGCCTATTTCCAGAGACGAATAATCGGCAGTCTTACCTAAACAGTCAGAAAAATACTCATAATCAAGCAGAAGGGATCGAAAACCTTTAGCACGTTCAGTCAGTCAGTATATTTGGAGTATTCGACAGAAGCCCTGAAAAGTCCATTTAGACGGAACATATGTGAGGGAAAGTAGTTAAAATGGCAAAAAGTTTGCCTGTAGTTTTAGTAATGAGAATTCATAGATCTAATAATGGAATATAAATGCGAAATGGGTGTGGTATTCGCGAAATAATTGTGAAAAACTTTGTTCACTGCCTCCGGACTGTGAAAATTTCCATGTGGGTCACGTTTGACGTACAAAAACGGTCTGTTGAAATCATGTTAGTAGTATACTTATAGTCATTTAAATAATTCCTTGGATCAGCCCTCAGCGTTTCGGTTTGCCTTTCAGCAGGTGAGTATCCAGTTGTCAACTGAACGCACTCCCGGTAGGGGAATTAACAACATACTCCGGTAAAGAGTTCCATTGACTAATAAGAAAAAGGATGAACGTTGATTTGTGCGACATAGTTCCTTTGTAAGCGGGCAATCCTGTCGTCTGAGATTAGCCTTTGGTGACATTTCAAAAAGAGTTTCCCAGTCGACATCCAGGGCAAATCCTCTTAGCAACTGAAACGTTGCTATGAGGTCACTTCTGTCTTGTCTGTGGTGGAGGGATAGAGGTTCAAGACCGTCAGGCCCTGCTCACACGTAAAATTTTTGAGGTCAGGAAAAGCCTTCGTAGCACGCCTTTGTACACCTTCAGGGATATCCATATCCTTCCGAAGCCACGGCCGCCAAGCCTGTACCGCACATTCCAGGTGCGGCCGCACAAATGTTCCACATACTTTGCCAAAGACATCTGCTTTCAAGTGAATAAACGTTCTGCGTATCGCACTCATGACTGACATTGCCCGCACAGCGACTTTAGAATACTGCGTGATGATGCTTTGATCGTCTTTAATGAATACACCGAGATCTCTTTGTACATCTACAGCTTTAAGTGGTTGATTGTTTAGGAGATACTGTCGTGAGGGTACATTTGTTCTGCGCCTCGCTGATACTACGTGCCTTACTGCTCATTTTCTGACGTTGAATTTCATGCACCACGTTCTCTATGTTGTCATTTTGATTAAGTGACAATGTCACTGAGACTGCATTACTATTTAGTGAACTAATCCGTAATTCATCATGATAGCAGACTTGCTGAGTTCTCTCCACGTCACCCTCCCGGTCACAGTGACAAAATTGAATTAAGACGACCATAGGTGAGACTGCACGCAGTGTTCGACAAAGCTAAACGGCTCGCATACGCGGGTCCCACACGCCCGGTCCTGATAGGAGCGACCGAGTTTTCACAGAGACGGTTAGTTTGCCTCCTAACGGAATGGGAGCGTCATAGACGCCACATACAGGCGGTGGCATTGCAGCATGCCTTTCCGTTTAGAGAGGTCGCAATTATCCCCTCAGTTGACAGTCTCGGAAGCCACGGCTGGTAGGGCAGATTGCTTGTTGTAATAAATATGTGCTGAATGTCGTAGGGACTCCGTCCCAAGAGTCGACCCCATTGTCTCTGTTCCCTCCCAGGTACCAGTGCCCTGTCTGGACCAGCCAGCCGTCTGGTGTGCTGATTTGACGCATAATGTTTGGCACGACGTGAGCCTGCGCCTTGGAGTGTCACAAAACTCTCAATGTGTGGCGATAGTTACGGCATGCGCCGACTCGGCGCAGTCCAGACACCACTTGCGGTGTCGTGATCTCGTCCCTATGTCGG